CCACCCCTGTGTCCACCCCCGTGCCCACCCCGTGCCCATCCCCGTGTCCACCCCGTGTCCACCCTGTGCCCATCCCCGTGTCCACCCCGTGTCCACCCCGTGCCCATCCCGTGCCCATCCCCATATCCACCCCGTGTCCACCCCCGTGTCCACCCCTGTGTCCACCCTGTGCACTGCCCATCCTCACTGCCCCGTCCCCGCCTGCAGCTCTGGTAATTTCCCTGGAAAGCCTCCTGGCGTCTTGTCTTGGGTTCAGGGTCACTGGAGCCGCATTCCTCGCTGCTCAGCGCCGTCTCCGCTTGCCCTCCTCGGGGCCACGCTGTCCGCCGAGGTCACAGCCGAGGGCCTGTCATCCTCTGTGGTCCTTGTGCCTCTTGGTCTTGCCCGTCCTGTCCCGTCCCGTGTCCCCTCCCGTATCCTGTCCCGTGTCCTGTCCTGTTGTCCATCAGCCTCTCTGCCCGTTTCCCTTCCAGCACCGGCCGGGCTGAGGCTCACGTTTGAAAGGAAAACAAAGAGAAAGAGAAGCTAGTTGTGCTGAACCTTACACAGAGGCCCCAGGCAGCTCCCAGGGTCCCCTGGCCCCCAGCCCCTGCGGACACCTGCCTCCCTGTTCACAGGTTAAGGTGACCCGTGGTGTCTGCTCACAGCGTGGCCTGGGCGCCCCCTGGTGCCTGGGCGAGGTCCCTGCTCTGCCTTGGATTTCCGCAGAGGGTTCTCTGTCCTGTGAAGGAGACAGGCGTTGAGGCCGTAATGTCTGAACCTAATACTGAGTTCTGGTCAATCCTTTTCTAATTTTTATGTATTTTATTATGTCAGAGAGGCAGGGAGAGAGAGAGAGAAACACCAATGATGACAGAGAGTCATGGACCGGCCGCCTCCTACACGCCCCACACTGGGGACCGAGCCCACAACCCGGGCCTGGGCCCCGACTGGGAATCCAACCGTGACCTCCTGGTACTAGGTCGATGCTCACCACTGAGCCACCCAGCCGGACACCAAAGGACTATTGCTTGTTGCCTTGGCCACAGCCACGGGTCAGCGCCTGCGTGTCTTGGCCGTGGGGACGCCCGGGCACGTGGGCCCGGAGTCTGGTCTCCATGGGGTGGGGAGGATACAGGAGAGCAAGCAGCACAGGAAGATTCAGATTCCGAGTCCCATGATGGCCTCCCGCTGAGGGCAGGACGGGAATCCCAGGGAATCCTGACTGCTGAGCCCGACCTCCCCAAACCCGACGTTTCCTGCACGCCGTCCAGCCGCCCTCTCTTCCCCGGACCTCCCCCTCGTCTCCCTTCTTCCTCTCGGCTGTCACTGAACCCTCTCTATCACCGGCCCGCCCTCCCCTGCCCGTTTCGTTATCTCCCTCAGGGTGACTGGCCCGATGGGTTTTCTGTGCCGTGAGGCCCGCCATCACCGCCTCCAATGGACGCCCCTCTGGAAAGTGCTCGCTCCCGAGGGTGCTGATCTCCCCGCCACAAACATGCTGGCATGTTAAGAAATGAGAGCAGCTCTAGCTGGTGTGGCTCAGTGGATAGAGCGTCGGCCTGCGGACTGAAAGATCCAGGGTTTGATTCCGGTCAAGGGCACGTACCTTGGTTGCAGGCACATACGCAGTAGGGGGTGTGCAGGAGGCAGCTGATCAGTGTTTCTCTCTCATCGATGTTTCTAGCTCTCTATCCCTCTCCCTTGCTCTCTGTAAAAATCAATAAAATATAATTTTTAAAAAAGGAAATGAAAGCATAAACAATTAGGAAAGTGAATAACGATCCCATGTCAGTTCATGTGGACATGTGTGCATGCGTGGTGGTGTGTGTGTGTGTGAGTTTTGACCGTGATTGCCGGGAATATAGTTTGAAGATGCTGTCTGCTCTCAGAGCGTTATGCTGTGCCGGTTAAGTCGTCCGGGATGACTTACTGGCAGGAGAGCAGGGCCCGCGGGGCAGACTCAGGCATGTGTCCCGCCCTCGGAGGGAGCTGGGTGCTCTCCGGCTTCTCCTCCTCCTCACTGGTGTTCGGACAAACGTGAATTTACGGAACACGTGAGTCATGGCCGGCCCGCGGCCTCTAGGTGAGGGATTGTTTCTCACGTGTTTGCTGACCGTGTCTGGGGTCCGGGGAAACGAAATAAAAGAAAATCATTGGACCCAGGACACCTCTCCAGAGCTGCAGAGAGAGGACTGTCCCCCTGGGGTGAGCGTGAGGACGGGACGGGGGCACATCCTGGGCGATGGTGGAGAGATGGCACAGGCAGACAGAACCGCGGGTTTCCGTGGAGCCTCGGCGACAACCCCCACACAGCCCCTCCCCCCCACACACAGCCCCTCCCACACACAGCCCCTCCCACACACACAGCCCCTCCCCCCCACACAGCCCCTCCCCCACACACACAGCCGCTCCCACATACACAGCCCCTCCCACACACACACACACACACACACACAGCCCCTCACACACACACACACACACACACACACACACAGCCCCTCCCACACACACAGCCCCTCCAACATACACAGCCCCTCCCCCCCACACACACAGGCCCTCCCACACACACAGCCCCTCCCACACACAGCCCCTCACACACACACACACACACACACACACACACAGCCCCTCCCACACACAGCCCCTCACACACACACACACATATAGTCCCTCCCACACACAGCCCCTCCCACACACACAGCCCCTCCCACACACACACAGCCCCTCCCACACACACGGCCCCTCTCACACACACGGCCCCTCTACCACATACCCCCTAATCGCCCCTAACTCTCTCCCACCCTCCTCCCCCTCTCCCTTCCACCAATCTGGTTGCCCCCAACTGCCACCCTCCCTGCTGGCCTTGTCAATCAATACTGCCCCCCTGCTGACCTGGTTGCCCCTTATTGTTCCCCCTGCTGGCCAGGTCGACCCTCACTGACCCCCCCTACTGGCCTGGTCGACCCTAACTTCCCTTCACTGCTGGCCAGGTTGTCCACAACTGCCCCTCACCCCCCTCTAACCACCCCTCCGCTGTTCTGGTCACCCACAACTGCCCCCCCGCACTGGCCTGGTTGCCCCCAACTACCCTCCCACCCCCACCAGCCTGGTCGCCCCTCACTGACCCCCGCTGTCAGCCTGGTTGCCCCACGCAGCCTGCTGTTCGGTGTCCTGACTAATTTGCATGTTACCGTTTTGTTAGTACAGCTACTACTTCCTGGAGGTAAAACTGTACTTAGCAATGGAAAGTTTTTCTAGAAATGGCTTCTAGAGACGCAGTGTTCACAGTATGTGGATGTTGGGACCTGTAGCATTACCTTAATCAATTACAAGTATTATATTGATCCATGATTAGTGTATGGGTTCAATGATTACAAGGTAAGCTTATCATTATTAAAAACTATACAGCATTTTAGAGCCTTGGAAGCTAATGCCGATTCTACTTTTATCTTTAAAACGTGGCCTTGATATTCTTTTAAAAGTAGAGACCCCAAAACATTAGGTTTCCAAAAGCTCGTTTCAGGTCATAAAACAGAAAAACAAATGGAGAATAGTAAAAAAAAAAAAAACCCTTAAAATTTATGTAAAAGGCAAGTTTATTGATATAAAGGGCATAGAGCAGGTGGCAGGCAGTCACGTCAGCTAAGGGAACTCGGACACAGACTTTCAAATGAGACGATCCGGGGCATCAACTTCAGAGAAATCACAAAACTAGCGCGTTTCCACGCCGTCCGAAACACAGCGCCGGGCCCGTGGGAGCGTGTCCGGACACGGGGGCCCCCACGGAGGAGCCCACGCTCAGGGGTTCGCGGGGTGCTTTCTGTTTTTGCTCTTGGTTAGCAAATAAAACCAAGGCATTTCACGTTTCTGTCCTGTTGCTTATGTTGGCAAACACCAAAGTCTCTGTTCACGCGGTTACCACGCGACTCACATACATGCACGCGTGACGTCTTCTCAGACGCAGCCCTGAGACGCAGGGAAGAGGAAGACGCTGCGCTCGCCGCTGTCTCCAAGGTTGCTCGGTCCCGGCCGCCGCCTCCTGCGAGCCACTCTGGCGAAAGCCCTTTGCAGAGTGCAGCCCCTGGCGCAGACCTGCCTGTCCAGCCGCTGATTTAATCGGAGGCTGGGCCGGCCTCGGGGAAGAGCAGCAGGAGCCGGAGCGCCTGGCACTGTCTTTATCGCCGATCAAAGCCTTTGTCCACGCCGCCCGATAAGCCCGCTGAGCTCGCTTCAACCTTAAAGTTCCACCTCAGGCCAAACCCCTGGCCCTGAGGGGCGTGTTCTGTGGGCTCGGCGGAATGGACTCCATCTCCTTTACGATCAGAACCACAGGAGCCCGGCCTGCCGGTCTCTGGGGGACACCACGTCCTCCCTCCCGTGCACACGGCTGCGTCCGGGCCGGGGGTCCCGTGAGGGGCCGCCGCCAGCGAGGTTTCTCGGGCCGGGGAGGAAGAGCACCCATGAGGCCTGGGGACGTGCAGTGCAGACGGGCTGGGCGGGCAGCTGGGGGAGTCGGAGGAGGGACACACGGGGACTCACAGGACGAGGCGTGGAAAGAAGCGAACCTTTGGACGGCCCCTGAGGCGCGGGTCTGGTCTCCTCGGCCGCGCGCTGAGCCCGCAGAACCGTCACTGCGACGGGGCGGGTGGATGCTCTGCAGGTGAGAGCCGCGGTCCAGGCCGCGGGCTCCGCTCCCAGGAAGCAGTGGGCATCGCGGCCGCCCACGAGGGGAAGTCAGAAGCTCCACACGGCCTGGCCGGCGCCCTCCGGGGCTGAGCGTGGACCTGTGCACCAGGAGGTCAGGGTTCGACTCCCGGTCAGGGCGCAGGCCCGGGCTGTGGGCGCTGTCCCCAGCGAGGGCACGCAGGAGGCGGCCGGTCCGCGATTCTCTCCTCAGGGATGCTTCTCGCTCTCCCTTCCTCTCGGACACCAGGAAAACACTCCGGGAAAAGCATTCAGGAACAGGACAGTCCACTCTCTCTAGTAACCAAGGACGGGAAGCGGAGAAGTGCACGCCCCTACACGTACTGGCTGCGGGAGGGCAGGCTGCCCGGAGGCTTCCTCTCCGAGGCCCAGCTCCGGGGGGCGGCGCGGCGGGCGGGCAGGCGGTACCGGGGGCCCCCGGCCTCCGCGGGGCCGTGGGCCACGCAGGCCAGCACGGCGCCCCCGGCCACGAGCAGCAGCGCGGACGCCCAGCCCAGGTACAGCGCCTCGCCCAGCTCCCGCTTGCGGCCGTCGTCCAGCGTGGGGTCGTAGAAGTCCCGGACGATGGCCGCGGCCACCCAGCTCACGGGCGCCAGCACCGCCACGCCCACCACCACGAACAGCACGCCGGCGGCCAGCAGCGCGGCGCCCCGGGCCTTGGCCTCGGCCGCAGCACAGCGGGAGCAGCGCATGCCGAGGGCGGCGGCCAGCGCGGCCAGGGCGGCCAGGACGCAGGCCGCGCACAGCAGCCCGCGGGCCGCCTGCAGGTCGGCGGGCAGCGCCAGCAGCGAGTCGTACACCTTGCACTGCAGCCGGAGGCCCGTGTGGCTGCGGCAGCTCATCCACAGCCCCTCCCACAGCGTCTCGAACACCACGATGTTGCTGCCGATGAAGGCAGACACCTTCCACTGCGGCATGATGGTCACCGCCACCGTGCCCACCGCGCCCGCCCCGCCCAGCAGCAGGCCCAGCCACTGCAGCGCCGAGCTGGCCATGGCCCGGGTCCTGGCCTGGTCCTGGTTCTGGTCCTACTCTGGGTCTGGGTCTGGGTCTGGGTCCTGGTCCGGGTCTTGGTCCTGGTCCGGGTCCGGGTTCTGGTCCTGGTCCTGGTCCTGGTCCTGGTCCTGGTTCTGGTCCAGTTCTGGTCTGGGTCCTGGTTCTGTTTCTGGTCCCAGTCCTGGTCCTGGTCCTGGTCCCGGCCCGGGCGGCTCCCGGCTGGGCTCCTGTGCCTGAGTCCCAGCGAGAGCAGAGAACAGTCCTGCAGGAATGAGCTCAGACCTGGCTTCTGGCTCAGAGCCGCTCGGCTGCTCCTGCTCTGAGCTCAGATCCAGTGCCGGCTGCCTCTGCCCGGCCTCCCTGCCCGTGGCAGGTAAACTGGCCGAGCAGGTGGAGCCACTTTCTCGGCCAATCGCAGGCGAGGCAGGCAGTCCTGGCCGGTGCAGCGGCTGGAGATACTTGGAATCTGGACAGAACATGCTCTGTGCTTCTCCGGTTTCCCAGAAGCTGGCGGAGCGTTCGCCTGTGGGCACCGTCCTGCATGTGGGCACCGCCCTCGGCTCCCACCAGCTGCCCACCGGGCCCGGTGGTGTGGAGGGCACCCTGGTCCAGGCCGTGTCGATGGGCCGGGCAGCCGTGGCGGGGAGTACCGTGGAGGAGCTGCCTGGGAAGGCTCTGGCCTCTCGGTGCTGAGGGGACAGGGGCGGTGGCTGGTCCTCGGACCGGGAGCCGCGTGCTCTGGACACAGGGGGCCCGGGGATTGGGGTTAATTTGTCCACAGCCTGACAGCAGGCTGGGCTGAGGAGAAATCCGGAACAGAGCGGCCAGGGGACAGAGGACGCCCTGAACCCACAGGGGTCCCTCTGGTGCCAAACACTCCACTTCCTTCTGAGCCAGGAAATGCTTGTGGCATCTGAACCTGATGTACAGGGAAAAAACTGTGAGAAAAAAACAGCTGCCCGGCCAGCACGGCTCAGGGTTTGAGTATCAATCTATGAACCAGGAGGTCAGGGCACAGGCCCGGGTTGCAGGCTCCATTCCCAGTGGGGGGCATGCAGGGGGCAGCTAACCCGTGATTCTCTCTCATCGTGGATGTGTCCATCTCTCTCTCCCACCTCCTTCTTCTCTGAAATCAATATAATTATATACTTTTTTAAAAAGTAAAAAAAAAGAAAAGCCATTTGAGTCTTGATCTCTAAGGAAAGAAGCAGCTGCAGCTGACAGTTCCCTCCTGTGAAGAGAGAAGAGTCGGCATGACTGGCTGCAGCCAGGACTCAGGGCAGCGATGAGGGCTCAGGGGCGGCTGCTCCTTTTACGGCTCCGTCCCCTCAGGCCCGTGGTTGGCAAACTGCGGCTCGAGAGCCACAAGCGGCTCTTTGGCCCCTTGCGTGTGGCTCTTCCACAAAACACCACGGCCTGGGCGAGTCTGTGTTGAGGAAGTGGCGTTAGGAGAAGTTTACGTTTAAAAAACATGGCTCTCCAAAGAAATGTCCATCGTTGTCCTGTTGGTATTTGGCTCTGTGGACGGATGAGTTTGCCGACCACGGCCTTAGGCCAAAGCAACCAGGATTCTGCAGGTGGGGCAGGAAGGTACACAAATGGCTGCTATTTCTCAGTAAGATTGTTGGAGGGTGAGGGCACCAAGGTCATTGACCTCACCTCCACCAGCTGCTCATGGAGCTGTCGTTAACGCCACGTCTGTGAATGGTCCGGGAGCCCTCGGCGTCAGCCACCCGAGCTGTCTCGTTGTTTAATGCAGAGTGACCGGCTCAGGCCGCGTTCACCGGCACGGCGCGTCCGGGAAGCCCTGGGCGGGACCCAGAACCCGGAATGGAGCGGTGTGCTAGGCAACCCCTCTCCGGAGCGCCCCCTGTCTGCACGTTCAGAGCCGGTGCAAGGCGGCCGGCGAATGCCCTCACATGTGCCGACGCCGCCCGGTGTCCTCTGCCCTCGGCTCTCGCTCCGGCTCCTCGGCGTGGGTCCTGGGCCGGCCCCTGCTCGGTGAGGCTCCTGCTCATCCTTATCCTGACATGGAAGCGTTCTGATTCTGTCAGCCTAGCCCGGCTGGCCCTGGTGCCTCTGGATGGCGTGGAGCTGCTGTTTTCCCTGGAGTGGACGTCCCCCGCGTCCACGGGTTAATTATTTCCCGCTCACGCCAGGCCTGGCTGGCCACCTCGTCCTGTGAACCCCGTGCGCATGTCACAGGCCCCTGTGCTGTTCCCAAACCACACCGGGCGTCGCCCTGCCCTTGAATCCTGCCTGTGTGTCCTCCGCGGCATGTCCTCCAGCGGCTCGAGTCCGTCCCCAGCCCTGAGGTCATTGGCGCGCAGTGCTCACGTCCGAGGAAGGTCCAGAAAGTCCTCTTCCTTCCCGCCCAGAGACACGGATCTGTTGTCCCCACAGGCCCGTCTTTCTCAGCAACTTCCTGTTCTCGGCTCCGTCTGTGGTTTATTTATTTTTATTTATTTGTGTTCATTGTTGAGAGTATTGCAGGTGGTGCCATTGCCTCCCCGTGGCCCCCTCCACCCAGTTCCTGCCCCACCCCCCACCCCGACCTTCACCCCACTCTTGTCTATATCCGTGGGTTAAGCATATATGCGTCAAGGTCTTTGGTTAATCTTCCCACTCCTTACCCCCCACCCCCCACACCCAACCCTTCCCTGTGAGTATCTTCAGTCTTTCTATGCTTCAGTGTCTCTGGATCTATGCTGCTCATCAGTTCATTTTGTTCATTAGATTCCACATATAAATGAGATCATGTGATACTTGTCTTTCTCTGACTTATTTCACTTAGCACAATACTCTCCAGGCCCTCTGGGCTGTCTCAAAGGGTAAGAGATCCTTCTTTCACAGCTGCATAGTATTCCATGGTGTGAATGCACCAGTGTGTGTGTGTGTGTGTGTGTGTGTGTGTGTGTTTATCCACTCCTACTGATGGCCACTTGGGCTGTTTCCCAGATCTCAACTACTGCCAATAACGCTGCTGTGAACGGGGGCTCACACCTTCTTTCTGACTGGTGTTGGGGACCTGAGGATATAATCAGAGGGGGTTGTGGTACTTAACGGTCCACGGCCACCGAGCACATGTGTCCGGAAAAGGAATTAAATGAACTCAGTGCTTCACGGGAGCCGGCAAATGGCCAGCAGAGCCACGTGCCGGTTACCTTGTCCGTCCACTGAGGTCTCCTCGGCCACTCGTGACCATGTCCCACCTTCAGCAAAAGCCAACGTGGAAACTCAGAATTGCACCACACGGCCCGCCCATGGCTGTGCGTGGGGCCCGTGGCTGTGCCTGAGGCTTGTGGCTGTGTGTGGGGCCCGTGGCTGTGCGTGGGGCCCGTGGCTGTGCATGGGGCCCGTGGCTGTGCATGGGGCGGCTGGAGGAGCGGGTCTTGGTGACTCCCTGAACCCCGTAGGAGCCTGTCTGTGCAGCAAGAGGCTGTGCTCAGAGCAGAGGGTCAGGCAGAGAACGCACACACAGAGGCCGTCCCCACAGATGGCAGACATGTGTCCAACCCGGTGGGCACGTTCCTCCGTGGCCTCGGGGAGCGAGTGCGTCCCTACAGCGCATCCTGCGACTTCCCAGGGCAAGTCCGTGAAGGCGGAGGAGAGGAGGGGAGGCTGTGGGATAATAGCTTCAGTATGGCAGCCTGTGCTCAAAAGGGTATACACGTGTGTGCACACATGTGAAGTCTGTTCGTCTTGAACTCAGAGAGGAAGGGAAAGGAAGAGAGAGAAACATCCGCGGTGAGAGACTCATGGCCAGAGTTTCCCCTTTTAACCAGAAGTGGAAACCTGGGCTTTTCCCGGGAAACTCTCCTGTTCCCACGCCACCCTCGCCGTGGCTGCCGAACCGGCGTGTGGGAGACCGTGGCCGGGGTCGCCGGCGATCACCCCCTCGCCAAGGCCCAGTGGCCTCCGCCGTCCGCCGCCAACAAGAAGGTCCCTGCTGGCCGGCCGCCGGGCCCTCGGGGTGTGTTTCCATGCCGACCCGGGAGAGCAGAACCTGCCCGCCTGGAATGTCCCGGGAGCCGTGGCCGGGAGGCCCTCGATGACCCGATAACGGAGCTGAGCTCCCTGCCCCCGGCCGATGCTATCGCTCCTGCCGCCGCCCCCCGGCCGCTGGCTCTGCACCAGCTCTGCCCCGGCTGAGCCGGGGGAGGGACTGTGACCTTCATTCTCCTCGGCTGCCTGAGAGGCCGTGCTGGGCACGGTGCAGTTTAATAAAATCCGTCACCTTCTCCACGAAGAGAGTTAGTCATAAATTATCAGCCTGGCCGCGTGGCTCAGTGGTTGAGTGTCCACCCCTGAACCAGGAGGTCACGGTTCGATTCCCGGTCGGGGCACAGGCCCGGGGTGCAGGCTCCATCCCCAGTGGGGGGCGTGCAGGAAGCAGCCGATCCATGATTCTCTCTCGTTATTGATGCTTCTCTCTCTCTCCCTCTCCCTTCCTCTCTGAAATCAATAAAAATAAATTAAAAATAAAGCGAGGCCGGCCTGTATTTGGTGGCTCCTTTTCACGTTGTTCTGTGGAAACCGCTGATGGCTGTGGTTAGCGTTCCGTCCTGCAGAGCAGGCGGGAATGAGGGCAGAGTGAGCACCGAGCGGGCGGGAGGGTCGGCGGGCCTGAGCCACCGGCACCACGTTCACGCCTGGAAGGGGTGTGTTAGCGGGGAGATGGCTCGGAGCCCGGAGGCTCGGGGAGCGGGTGCTCGGGGACGTGGCCCCCGGCTCCCGGGATGGTTAGGGGGGGCTCACACAGCTCGGACTGGGGCGCTGGGCCTGGGCGGGGAGGGGCGGTGGATCACCGTCGGGTCCTGGTGCTGCTGGGGGTGTGCCCTGTCCCGTGAGGGGCCTCCACGGCCGGTCCGGGTCACGGCCGGGGCTGAGGCACCGCTGAAGGCCAGACCGTATCGCCGTCCGGCTGTAGCTCTGTGTCTGGGGCCAGCTGGACAGCCTGGTGCTGATCACAATCAGACGTCCTCGGGGCGCGATGAGG